ATCTGCATTCTTTTCCTGATTGTTTTTATAATGAACACACACACACACACACACACACACACACACACACACACACACACACACACACACACGCGCGCGCGCGCGCGCGCGCACACACACAAGCACATATCCAACACACACACACATACACACCTATTATAAACGCACGCACGGCAACTAGATCCAAAAGCAAAGGCAGTAAAGAAGAACAGAGAAGACAGCTATTCACCAAAAACCTTCCCATAAAGCTCTTCACAAGATCGAAAACCGCGCAAAAGCAGGGGCGAGGAAGGCTTCTGAGAGCAAAGGTCATGGCGCAGCTTTCAACGCCCGCATGATTCAATCGGTTGCCAGGGGCAACGAGGTGAACGCCCCCTATTTACCGAAACAAAGCAGGACCTGCCAGACACACTTTCCGCCTCAGCATGGCAGACAGGCGCTTCATTACCTATTTTGTTTACAATAAAAGAGCAAGTGTTCTTGCTCGTCTCTCCCTCCCCCCCACTCTCCCTGCTTCTCTCTCTCTCTCTCTCTCTCTCTCTCTCTCTCTCTCTCTCTCTCTCTCTCTCTCTCTCTCTCTCACTCTCCTCCCCCCTCAACCCCCCACTCTCTCTCTCGGGGCCTTTTCTCCAGTTGCCTATCACTTTTCTATGAGTCTCTCTCCATCAAGCTTTTTCTCCATCCGCCACTAACTTTTCAATCAGATTCTGTAAGAAGAAAGAACGACGTGATCAAGAGTTGATTCCCTTTCTCAGTTTGGAAACATAGACTAACACCCCCACCTCCCCCCCTCCATTTTATCCATGTTGAAAATAGAACAATCAGTGACTGTGTGAGTAAATAGAAGCCCATCAAACAAATAGTGATAAAAAAGTGCAGGCAAAGAGTAAGACAGACAGACAGAAATACAAGCGGAAAGGAAAAGAAGAAGAACCTACCAGTTGCGCCCTCCAACCACCCATGTACTTGGCTATTAAGTCTACTGGAAAACCAAAAAGAAGATTTTGCAAAAAAAGACGAAGGATGTACATAAACACACTCACACATATAAACACACACACATACACACTCATACTCACTCTCCCTCTCTCTCTCTCTCTCTCTCACACACACTTACAAATACACACACACACACACACACACACACACACACACACACATACACTCACACCCACAGAACAAGCGAAGGGCAGAGATACTCACACACGCAAATCTTATTTCATCCTTCGAGTCACGCAAAGAATGACGCAATCAACATGCTGAGGTTTTTAAAAAAAAAATATTATTCTGAAATATCATTTGTGTTCATTCACAAGAACCAAAAATATGTGAAGGTTTTTTTGGTTTTTAAAAAATCAATCCACGTGTTGGACAAATTTAAGATAGAGGGAAAGGCCTTGAGCATACAATGTCATGACCTTATCACCACAAAGTGCAGAATCTGAAAGAGACATTCAGCCATTTTGATTTGACGCTCATTTCTCGGCTCGCACGAACGCTTAATAAAAAAGGAAAACATTCGAAAAAGAGAAAAAAGAATAATATTCTGGTCTTACCCCTCACTCAGCAGAAAGCTTTCCCTCTGTTATACTATTCATATGCCTTCTTTTTTTCTTCCAGTGAGAGCAAGATATGCAATGACCTAACTTGATCGAGAGAGAGCTTAAAAATCTACTAGGCTAAATCAAAAGAACGGGAACATTTAATGGCCTTCTGTTGATGGTCAGACCCACCTTAGAGCCCACTACTCCACACATTTCATTGGTGTCTGGATTGTAACGGTTAGGTCAGTGCTTGCCAGCCTGGGAAATATCGCCACTAATGGGCGATTTAGTAGTTTCGGTGGGCGGTGGGGATCACTCGAGTAGTGACAATATTATCTAATGACCATTTTGTAAATTCACGGAAGCAAGTAGTATTAAAATGTTGGCTTTTCAAAGGTGGCAAAAGTAAGCACTGGCTATTAAAAAGTTAGCAAGCATTTGGTTAGGCTGTTGCAAGCAAAAGAATTTGGTTCCCATGTTGGTGTGTCTACTAAGCCCTTCACTGCCAGGCACAAGACTGTCTCAGGCTCTCTGGTTTGACTAACAGTAGAGGCGAATTCCTATGACGTCGTTCTGTGGAAGGACGGGGAAAGAAGGAAAATGGCAATATATCCCTGCTCCAAACCCCACACCCTAATCTCTCCCCCCCCCCCCCCCCCCATACCCCTCTTCCTTCCCCCGAGAGCAAACCACTGACTTCAAACAAAAAAGTATCCTTCAATGAATCCTTGTGTAAATATACTTTCATTTATGAAACGCAGGAATGCGCTTTTACTCTTATACCTGCTCCATAACCACAATTCTCGGGTGTGGCAGTGGAACTGTTAATCTAGAGTTCCCCCCCATCCCTCCCCCCTAAAAAAATCGTTCTTTTGGGAATATGTATTCGACTCAGCCTTGTTTTACAAAACATCCTGCCTCCGAAACGATCAGATGCCTGCAAGGTGGTTTTTTAAAATGTAGGTGTATTTTACGCCACTATCGACACCATTTAGATTATTTAAGGAGGCGGGCAGCAGACCTTGCCTGTGATGGCTAATTCAGGCTGAGAGGGATACAACATCCTACTAGAAAGGACGAGATACTCGATAAAATTTTCTCCCCACTCAGGAATCGAACTCGTGTCTTTTGCGTGCGACAGTGAAGCGCTTGACCGCTACACCACAGACAGTGGTCTGCAAAGTGTGTGAAAGCGTATGAATATCACTATCATACCAATATGATTACTATTATTAATATTATTGTTATTATTACTATTATTATTATTATTATTATTATTATTATTAATATTATTATTAATATTATTATTATTGCTGTTATTGTTCTTATTGTTACTGTTTTGAATGACGAACAAATAAACAAGAACAAAAACAAGAATAACAGCAAGAAGGTCAATGGCAACAACAAAAACAACAACAACAACAACAACAACAACAACAACAACAAGAACAAAACTAATAACAACAAACACA